TTCCGCGTTAACGGGCGGCCTGGCGTACTCCTCGAATATCAGGCGGGCCAGTAAGTCAAGCCCATGTTGACACCCAAACAACTCCTCCCTCACACTACCCGCACGGATGCTGCGTCTCAGTTGCTGCAAAACTACCTGTGTGCACATCATCCGGCGAGAATTATGATCAAATCCACGGCGTTTACCACGACAGAAGAACTCAAAGTCCCAACAGAAGCGCTCCAAACGCCTTCCCGGTGTTTTCTGCGATTCATCCCGGACGGATTGAAACAAATTAAACGCAAGATCAGCAAGTGACATTCGGCTCAGCCACAGGCGTGCTTTCCGCTGTATGCGCAAAGCCGCTTGCTGCTGCACGCGATTGATCTCGCGCCGCTCACGCTTTTTCCGAGTCTCGGCGAGAATCGCATCCTTCGAAGGCTGGTGGTCGCGAGACAAAGAGAGATGCGTCGGGCGACTCCTGCCATTAAAAACAAAGTTACCATTCATTTCCTCCGCGCCAGTAACTGGCAACCTCCGGAATGTGAGGAGGTGGAGGGAGGGGAGGGGAGGAAACAGGCAGAAACAGAAAGAAAAAAAAAAAGAGGGGGGAGTAGAGACAAAAGTGTCGTCAAATAAAAAGAAAAAGTGAGACAGAAAGGCACGTAAAAAAGACATAAATAAAAGGGATAAAGTCGACGTATTCGGAACGCCGTCATTTTTCCTTCCTCTTCCCCATTCCTTCACATTTTTCCGGTAGGAACATCCGTAAAAAAAAAAAAAAAAAGCAAAGAGATAAATACAAAAAACAGTCCGTCAGCCAAAAATAGATCCACTTTCCCCTCTGATGGGAAGTCAATTCTCACGCAACTCGTTTTGAAAGGTCTGCACTCTCGGAAAACTCTCTTCAAACGACGATGTTGCGGGGTCATGTACTCAATAACTCCCCTCCCTCACTATATCTTCTCAACGACGTCGCAAAGCCCGCAGTTCCCTTTCCTCCACCCAATCCAAATATTGTCGCCGTCCAAGCCGCGGGCCATAGAGCATCGCAAATATGCCCTTTGCTTCTTCAGCTTCCAACTTACTCGGCGCACCGGGTAGCCTTTCAATAAGATCAATTCGCTCTAAAAGAAGGCGACGCTGCTCTGGCGTGAGAGACTCTTTAAAGTTCTGATGTTTCTTGAAGCAATCAAAAGAACCTCCTTCAATGCAATCTCCAAAATTAGCGTGGTTGTGCCCGCCTTTGGGGAAATAATCTCGAGTGGGTGACCCGTCATGTCCTACATTGGAATGCGTGTTCCTGCGCCGCTCTGGCAGTCGCATATGAGTCCTTCCAACCTCAAAAACGGGCTCACTGCTGCGTGAAAATCTTGAGTGCGATGATGACACACTGTTCAAACCCTCTGAGGAGGGTTCCGATGGGATCTGGCCCCGTGAAAGGGGTTGAAGAGTAGAAGGAGTGAGATCGTGCCCCTGTTGATACGTCTGTTGTTGTTGTCGTTGCGGCTGCTGTTGCTTTTTTTTTAACTGGCTCCGTTGATAAGCCGAATGACCAGATTTGCCATCAAATATCATGGCAACTGACTGCGGGGACATATGCTCTCGGGGCGGAGTGCATGGATTTGATGGGGAGAGGAAGGTTGGAGGCTCGGACGGAGTGGCGTTGCTCCTTTGGCTCACAGAAAATGAATCGTGCAATAAAGGCCTCACCGTGGACGAAACCCCACGGGAAATGCCGTCATCACTGACCCTGCGCGGCGTAACTCCTGCTGACCTCACTTTGGAATGTCGAGCAGGGATGACCCATTGCGCCGATGCGGGGGAGACAGGGGGAGCAGTGGCGTACAAGGAGAGTAATCGTGCAACATGGAACCCAATGGCATCCGCCGCTTTTTGCGCACTTGTCAGCGAGGCAAATAGCCTCTGTGCGTATCTCCCCCACTTTGATACAGCCACTGGTCCCTGTGTGTACGGCTGCAGCAGTTCCATTGTTTCCCGAATTCGATCAAGATAAATCGCCAGTCTTCTGGATGCCCGCTCCAAGAAGCCAACGTCCGCGAGAGACAAGTCACGTGCATGGCCATCAAGCCCCGACACACGCTTGCCCCAGACAGGCAGGGTGTTGTCACAGAAATCCAACAAGGACGTGACCGCATCCTTCAGCTGGAAGCAACTTGCATCCAACGGCTGCTCCGCCTTCGGATCACGCCGGGCTTCAGGGGTCCGCCGGAATGCCATCGACGTTACCCTCGAGGGGGAACTCGACGCGGAGACAGCCGGTGACACACGGGCGCGGATGCAGCTATATTTCGACCGCCGCGGAGAGCGCAGGACAGTTGGAGACGCCCATCTCTCCCCGCCGACATCCCACAAGTCATCCATGCCGCGCCGTCGAGGAAACACCGATACCACCCAGACGCACACGTAAGTACTTAAAAAAGCAAAAAAACAAGACTGTAGCCCAGAATTAAAAAAAAAAAAACTATGTCGCACAGAAAACTGCGGGCTCAATTTCTGCTGAATGTATTACTTCAACAGTACCTCCCCAAGGGGGCCGGGAAAAGCGGCTAAAAAGTATTGCACGGTTCCTTTCTCCTTTGTGCCGCCCTGTGTTGCCCGTTGAGCCCAAAGAAAACAAACGCAATGCCAATAAAGCACAACGCGTGTAATTTCTCTTCACCCCTTCCTTGCTTCTGAACCCGCGTGATGAGTAGCAAACAAAGAAGAAAAGAAAAAAAGAAGGAGACAAAGACGCATGCAAAAAAAAAAAAAAAAAAATGAAGTGCCTTCCCTCCTTTGATTATATGGAACAGATATGAATCAACCCACAGATTCACACACACACACACACTTCATGTGCAGACGTTAAAAATCGCCACGGCCCTCTAACAGTCTCCTTTATTTTGTTTTCCATTAGAAGCTATTCTTCTTAGCGCTTCTTTCGACACGTCCTCCATTCATTTTCGTTCCTTCTTTTCCCCCCTTCCATCTAACAATAACCGAGGGGAAAGAAATCGTTAATTATAAAACAAATGGGCATTTTTCCCCCTGTGAAGACGCGCTCTCTTCCCCCTCTCCCGTTCTGAGGCAAAACCTCATGCGTCACCTCGCCCCGGCCACAGAAGAAAAGGGACGGGGAAAAAAAAAAAGAAGCAAAACGCATAGCAGAAGAAAAATATAAAAAAAAAGATAAACAAAGCCACCACACGGTCCTTTTTCTTCCCACAGACCCTTTCATGTTATTTATTTTTTTCCCATTCCCGCACGCAAAGTACCCTCCGCGTGTGCCTGCAGGTCCGCTCTGGCCAAAAAAAAAAAAAGAAAAACAGACTGAAAAAGGAAAAAAAAAACTCATGCCGCCTCTCATTTTCATTCTTATTCCCAGGGTGAAAGAATTGGCTTCTCGGGATACGTGCAGCCGTCGTGCTGAATCACTACCCCTGCCGCGTAGTGGCCAAGAATGCAGCAACGTGTCAGGTCCTTCCCAAGAGCATAGCCAGACAAGAATCCGCCCACGAAAGCGTCTCCGGCACCGTTGAAGTCAATCATTTTCTCGGGATCCAGTGGGTCCACGGGCACGACAGTGATTTCGTCCTTCGTGACGCAGATAGTTGGCTCCGGTCCCTTTGTAAAGATCACAAGACGGCCTTTCGTGCCGGAGTACGGAAGCTCCTTTAACGCCCGCTTCGCAACCTCCTTCATGTCCTCCTCATCCCACCCCTTCGCCTTGGACAACGTCCTCGCCTCCAACTCGTTGCCAAAGATGATGTCCACATAAGGCAACACCTGGCTGAACTGCTCCCAGAAGAACTCAATGATAAAAGGTGCGGAAAGGTTCATCATAAATGTCCCACCCACTTCGCGCGCCTTTTTAGCCACATGTAGAACATAGGCTACATCAATCGTGAGGGTAAAACCGGTCAGGTAAAACAACTTGGCCTCCATAAGGCATTTCTCCACATCTGGAGAATAAATGTGTTGGGCAGAAAGGCAGTTTGCGGCGGCAAGGTTTGCCACAAGTGAACGTTCTTTTCCTGTAATGCAAACCGCACAGCTTCCCGTTGGCTCCCTTGTTGTGTACTCAACCACCATTTTGACGCCATCCTTCTCGGCAGAATTCTTCAGAATCCCGCCGTAGCGGTCGTCCGCAATGCAGCCTACATACGTCACAAAAGACCCTTTCGGAGCCTGCAGCATCCACTGTGCCACTCGGCAGGTATTCAGCCCAGAGCCGCCGGGTACGTGCTTGACTTCCGGCAAGTTTTCAAGGTCTTCGAAGATACCAGCTTGGTCCTCCGCCAAAAGCGTGGCGGTGCCGCGTTCCACCTTGTACCTTGCCATGAATTCGTCCGATACGCCTGCCGAGACGTCAAGCAACGGATTACACTGCACGTAGAGCTTTGCGGGGTGAGACATGTTTAGTTCCTGGGTTTGGTTTTGTTTTTTTGTTTTTTGTTTTTTTTAGAATTTTAAATAAGTTGTTACGCGGATTTCTGCGACAAACAGAAAAAAAAAAACAAAAAAAGCAGACAACAGGGAAAAAGAAAAAAAAATGATAATAATTCCATTTTATTTCAAAAATTTCGCCTAAAATAACCAGCGCTCCAGTAGAAGTCATCCGCAAAAAAAAAAAAAAAAAAATTGAGAGAGAGAGAGAGGCACACACACACACACACCAATTCCATTCAATCATGTAATTTTATCCTTTTGGAATTCGCTTTCATTTACTTTTTTTTTTCTTCTTCATTCTTCTCGTTTTTGGTTTAGTTTACTTTTCCCTCGCTTAACACCAGCGTTGTATTAGACCCTCTTTCCTCCTCCCGGCAACAGCCCCCAGCCGCGCTGTCATTGTGGTCACATGGGTCACACAGCACTCCCCCTGTGATATCCCTCCTGTCCGCCCCGCTCAACAATAACTTTTTCACTCCCCACGACTCACACGCGCCGCAAAATCTTCGGCCGTGCGTCTCAGCCCCTCCGACAGCGGAACGACGGGGGTCCATCCAAGCACCCGCCTCGCTTTGCTGATGTCCGGGCATCGCTGCTTCGGGTCATCCTCGCAGGGGGAGAGAAAGCAAATGTTTGACTTTGTTCCGGGCACAAAGTCCCGTACCTTCTTCGCCATATCCAACACCGTGTACTCGTCCGGATTTCCCAAATTCACAGGCCCTATCTCCGTTGGGTGTCGAATGAGGCGGAAAAATCCCTCTACAAGGTCATCGCAATATTGAAACGAGCGGGTTTGCGTGCCTGTCCCGTACACAGTAATATCTTCACCCCTGAGGGACTGAATGAGAAAGTTGCTAATAATGCGGCCATCATTAAAGCACATGCGAGGACCATACGTATTAAAAATGCGAGCCACACGAATTTTGACTCCATGCTTCCTGTGAAAATCAAAGCATAGTGATTCGGCACACCGTTTACCCTCATCATAGCAGCTTCTCACTCCAGTGCAGTTCACATTACCCCAATATTCCTCCGTCTGTGGGTGCTGGATTGGGTCACCGTACACCTCCGAGGTGGACGCAATGAGCACCGGACAGTCATCCCGCTGGGCAAGAAGCAATGAGTGGTACGTCCCGTTTACGCATGTCAGCGTTGTACCAATTGGATCGGCCTGATAGTGCACGGGAGACGCGGGGCTGGCAAGGTGGAAGATGTAGTTATACTTATGCCTCAAAACCTCCTCAGGGTAGGGATGGCGCACGTCATGCTTCACAAAGTGAAAATTTTCCTTGCCGATGTGATGGGCAATGTTCTGTTCCCTGCCAGTGTAATCATTATCCACAGCAACAACGGTGTATCCCTCACGCATTGCACGGTCCACAACATGACTGCCGATAAATCCAGAGCCCCCTGTGATCAGCACCACTTCGCCGAAATTCTCCCCAGGCATCTTAAAGAGCGTTGGACAAAACACCCAATGCAAGACTACACATACATGCACACAGAGAAAAAAAAATGGATCCAAATACGCAGGTGTATTCGTGCGGCGCAATAAAGGAAAAAAGAAGGAAAAAAAAACAAAAGAAAAACAGAAGAAAATAAAAATCGCGTCAATAAAAATAAAAGAACCAGAAAGAGAATTCGTTCGATTGCACGCGCAATCACACACGCATTCAGACCGTCTCCACACGCCATGCGGTCGTGGCGGTTCCTCCCCTCCGGTGTGAAAATGTCCCCCCTCCACTCGCTCCCTCTTCGTCGTGCATTATTTCCCACCGGCCCATTGCCCTCCTCGTTGCCTAAGAAATATGAAACCCCCCTTCTTCCTTTCGTTTTCTCCCAACACACACACACAAAAAAAAAGAAGTACAAAATAAAAAACCACACATCTCACTGGCAGTATTATTATTCCTCTCTCCCTTCTTATTGATTCCTTCTTCTTCTGGCTTTAAGGTGTGATTCCGCCATTGCCATCATCATCATCATCTCTTTTTCACCCCCCTTTGCCCCATTTCCTCTCTCTTTCTCTCCCATCCCTTTTTTTTTTCTTTTTTGGTTATTCCCGCAGTCAATAAAGTTTTTTACCAATAAAATAAAGGGAAGAAGCCAATAAAAACACAAAACAAATAAGGAATGAACCATACATATATGCCTGCATGCCCCCCACCACCAGCAGATATATTTATACATTTATGTGCATGCATGTACGCATCTGCAATGACACATGGAATTGGCATGTCGTCATAATGGTAGGAGCAGAGCATACATGCACGCACATCCATAATATATATGTATATGCACACGTCACCAGAGGCATGCACACACACATTCCCATTCTCCCGGCCACCCGGTATTAAACTATTAATGTGTTGTCACCACTGCACATTATGGTTGTTTGTTTGCTTGTTTTGTTTGTTTGTTTGCTTCTGAAAAAGAAGTTGCACAAAAATATAAATAAATAAATGAGTACCACAAAACAATTTTAGAGGCCATTGCCATTAAATTGTGGTGCTTAAAAATACGTCGGACAAAATAAAACTCCGTACGCGTATGGTAGGGAGAAGACAGTCGCATTTCCCCCTCCCTCCACTAGACATAAAAGTAAAAGGCATAAGAGACCAAAGAGACAAAGCCACGAACAATTTTATGACCAAAAAAAGTAGCCAAAGTAGACATGCGCCAAAATATGAGGGACGCTTTCCCCGCTGCCGCTCAATCCTCACATTTTTTTGTTTATGTGAGTGACTGAGAGAGAGAGAGAGAGAAGAGGAAGAGAACAAAACAAAACAAATAAAATAATATAAAAAAGGACTCAGTCTGCATCCGCCCCACTTGGAGAAAACAAATTTGTACTAATACATTACAAGTACCTTACGTACCACACTCTCCGTTCATAAATATTCCCGTGGCTCTTTCTCTCTATATATTTGCTTGTTTGTTTCTCCCTCTACTCGAGCACAATGAGGCCCAGAAGACCACAGAACTGCACAACAAAGCCCGTCACAAAGAGGGCGAAGCCGGGGCCGTATTTTGTGTTCGCACTTGTGTAAGTGTCACTGCCACACAACTTAACGTTGTGAATGGAAGCAACCATAGACCACGTCACCAAACCCGAGACGGTACTAATCGCGGAGGCAATCACGGTCAGCCACTTCTTTTTGGACCCACTGAGGACATACCAGCTGCCAATACCGGCAACTACAGCAAAGTACAATGCGCAAATGCTGAACGCCTCGCCGAACTGGAACCGCAGACGTCTGGCCTTGCACGTGTCCCAATTGACACGCCAGTCGTAGTTAGGGCTGTTGCAGGCCCGCGTGCCCCAAAGAGTGTAGCACGTTCCGGGTGACAACTTCGGCTGAAGCATAGCGATCGGGGTGCCGATGACAAAGAAAATGAAACTCACCATGCAGGCAAGAAGCAGCCCCGTCGCCCCTTTGTGCTTGCCGTACTCCCGTACAAAAAAATTCTTCTTCTTCGACATCCTTCAAACAATGGGTCCACGCTTTCGCTCTATTGTGGTTCCTCTGATAATATGAAAAATGTTCAGTCTTCCTCGTCCCTTTACTCGCCTCTTTCCCGTCAACTATACGCAGATATATATAGAGAGAGAGATATATATATCTATAAACCGACTATGAACCCAAGCGTGTCCCTCCTGTTAAAACCAGCCGTGCGAAAAGATGTTCGGTAATTTTAAGCCCCAACAATGCAACGTGGCGGTCCGAAAGTGTTTTTTTTTTTTTGCTGCTGCTGCTGCTGCTGATGGGAAGGAGAAGAAAAAAAAGTCGGGTGTTGTGTCTGCTGTTTACGCTGATCCTGCACGTGCGGGGTGGGGAGTGGGAAGCAAAGAACAGAAGAAGAGGAGAGAGAAGAAACAAGGGCGGGCGCAGTATATATACATACATATATATATGTATGTATGGATACATATTGTATATATGTGCACGCATGCAGGGAAGTGCAGGGAAAATAAATGCGGGTGAAAGTCCGGGAGCCACCGCTTCTGTTGACAAATTCTTGTCCGTTCCTCCTTTTACCTCCGCCCTGTCCCATCGCCAGTCGTCATGGATGAATGACTCCCACTAAAGGGGCGGAAAATTATCCCCGCTCGCAGAAAACACCGAGAGAAAAGTGTTTCTTCAATAAAAACAAAAACCAATGAAAATAATCATTTTTATAATAATTATAAATATAAATATACATACATATATAAATATAAATATGTACATAATAATTATAAAAATCAGAAAAAAAAAGTTTTTTTAAAAAAAATTTTGTTCATTCCTTCATTCCCACATTCACCGCCGCACAATTAAATATAATTGCACACACACACACAGCGGTCAGCGGTCAGCGGTCAGCGGGCTCTGCCCTCCCCTCCCCTCCACTTTAACGCCGCAGCCAACCCCCGCTCACAGCCGCAGCGCAAGGGAGGAAAATGGAAAAATAAAGTCAAAAAAATAAAAAAATTTTTTAAAACATCACGAAAAAATAAATACAATAAAATAAAATAAAATGTAAAATAAATATAAAAAGTGGAAAATATGAAAAAAGTGAAAAAAAATATTTTTTGAAAAATGCAGAGGCAAAAACACCGCAGTCCTCCTTCCTTCTTTCCTTCCTTTTTGTTTTTTTGTTGTTGTTGTTGTTTTTGGGCTCATTTTGAGTCGCCTTTCCCCCCACCCCCCCACCCCCCCACACACCACCAACAGAAGCGTACATGTCTATTCACAGCGAGTTGTATTTTATATTCATATTTTTATATGCACGTTTGCGGCCATGCGCTCGCTACAACTGAAGCGAAGAAACTTTTGTGGGACGCATTTGACACCGCAGCCCCTGGCGCCATTTCGCACCGTTTACATGAATTCTCTCTCATTTATTGTTGTTGTTTTTTCCGCCTTTAATGCGGTTTTGTTTTTTGTTTTGTTTTTTTTGTTTTTTTTTTGCCTTTTTTTCTTTCATTCAGTCAAAAGACATCAATGAAAAAAAAAAAAAAAGAAGGGGCGGGGAAATCAAGGGAAAAAGAAAAGGAAAAAAAAAGGTCACAATTTAAAAAAAAAAAAAAAACGTCTTCACTCATTTTGCATCTTATCAGCGGGAGAAAAAAATGTGCTGTCCTTCGCGTTGGAACCGCAAAAAGACCCTTCGGTGCCTCCTCTTCTCCGCGGGCAAGCGGGTGGTCGGCACGGTCCGGGTCACAGTACCAGCAAGAGGAATGTGCCAACCACCTGGATAAGCCAGCCACCGAGAAACAGGCCGAAGGCAGAGCTGTACTTCCAGTCACGCCTCCAGTTGTCGTGAAAAGCAGTTCCGCAGAAGCTCCCTTTGTACACGGCGGCCATGCATGCCCACGGAA